TTTTTTTTTTTTTTTTGAGACAGAGTCTTTTTCTGTCATCCAGGCTGGAGTGCAGTGGCGTGATCTCGGCTCACTGCAACCTCTACCTCCTTGGTTCAAGTGATTCTCCTGCCTCAGCCTCCTGAATTGCTGGGACTATAGGCATGTGCCACCACACCCGGCTAATTTTTGTATTTTTAGTGGAGATGGGTTTTCACCATGTTGGCCAGGGTGGCCTCGAACTGACCCCAAGTGATCTCTTGGCCTCCCAAAGTGCGGGGATTACAGGTGTAAGCCACTGTGCCCAGCCAATTGTCCTCATTTTTAAACGTGTCCCCATACTATCACTTCCTGTTTACACTTTTTAAAATTCATCTACAAAATTTGCATGATTTCTGAGTTGAGTAAATAATGCCTTTTTTTTTTTTTGAGATGGAGTCTCACTGTCACCCAGGCTGGAGTGCAATGGCGCGATCTTGGCTCACTGCAATCTCCACCTCCTAGGTTTAAGCAATTCTCCTGCCTCAGCCTCCCAAATGGCTGGGATTACAGGCATGCTCCACAATGCCTGGCTAACTTTGGTATTTTTAGTAGAGACGAGGTTTTGCCATGTTGGCCAGGTTGGTCTCGAACTCCTCACCTCAACTGATCTGCCCGCCTCGGCCTCCTAAAGTGCTGGGATTACAGGTGTGAGCCACCGCATCTGTCCAAATATGTTTTAAATTTTATTTTTTAAGACGAGGTCTTGGCCAGGCACAGTGGCTCACATCTGTAATTCTAGTTACTCAGGAGGCTGAGGCAAGAGAATTGCTTGAACCTGGAAAGTAGAGGTTGTAATGAGCCTAGATCGCGTCACTGCACTCCAGCCTGGGAGACACAGTGAGTCTCCGTTTCAAAAAACAAAAAAAGGACAAGGTCTCACTATGTTGGCCAGGCTGGTCTGGAACTCCTGGGCTCAAGTGATCCTCCTACCTCGGCCTCCCGGAGGGCTAGGATTACAGACATGGCCACTATGCCCAGCCAACAACGATTAACACCTTTGAGACTATTTTTAACATACCACTTACAGAGTAGGCGAGGCACAGCCCATACCACTGGTCTATTAAATAAACCGAAACACCAGCTGGTGCCCTCACATACGTCTAAAGTGAGCTGTCATCACATCCCATGCTACATTCCTCCCTAACACACTCCCTAGGATCCTTCCAGGTCAGCTTCCTTGCCAAATTCTAGTTAATAACTCCGCTTGCACCTTGTACAGGCTCATGCAATGGCTTGACCCTATCTACCCACTTTTATTCACACACACCACACTGTCACTTCTTTACATACCTGTTCCTCCTAGACCATGAAGTCATCTCTAATCCTTGTGGGAGAGGTATACATAAAATACCAAAACTCCTTATGGCCAAAGCATAATGTCTTACTTGCATCCCAGCACATGCTGTCAGCCACTGTTCCTTCAACTCCAATTTCTCAGTAGTTCAACTTTGATGAAGAGCAGTGGACACATAGGCAGCACATCAAGATTTATCTTACCCAACTGTTCAAAACAGAGAAAAATGGTTCCAATAATAATAAGCGTGTCCTGTTTCATTCAGAAAATGTCATTTGAGACCATCTGCAACTTGCTCATTATTTGCGGCCTCCGGGAACAAGGTGACAGAAGCACTTCAGCAGAATGCAGCTCAGCGTCTAAACTGCATTTTTTTAACTTTGAGGCCAGGCACAGTGGCTCACGCCTGTAATCCCAGGAGTTTGAGTTTAGCCTAAGCAACATAGCAAGACCCTATCTCCTAAAAAAAAAAAAAAACTTTGGGGGCACATATCACTGTCACCCAGGCTGGAGTGCGGCGGCACGATCTCGGCTCACTGTGCAACCTGTCTCACAGGTTCAAGTGATTCTCATGCCTCAGCCACCCAAGTAGATGGGATTACAGGTATGCATCACCATGACCAGCTAATTTTTTAAAAAAAATTTTGGCAAGGTTTTGTCATGTTGCCCAGGCTGGTCTCGAACTCCTAGCTTCATGTGATGTGTCCGCTTCAGTATTCCAAAGTGTTGAAATTACAGGTGTGAGCCAACGCGCCCGGCCAAAACTCATTTTCTATAACACAAGTAAGTCTTAAGGCTGCAGATTATCAGTAAAACAAAATTTGAAAAGCTTTAAGAGTAATTTGATTAGTCTTCACCTCATGCATTGATTATAAAAAACTAATCCCTGAGTAGGGTGCAATTCCACTGATTTTATTTACTTATTTATTTAGACACAGAGTCTATGTCACCGAGGCTGGACTGCAGTGGCGTGATCTTGGCTCACTGCAACCTCTGCCTCCTGGGTTCAAGTGATTCTCCTGCCTGTCTCCCAAGCAGCTGGGACTACACGGGCCCGCCACCATGCTCAGTAATTTTTTTTTTTTTTTTTGTATTTTCAGTAGAGATGGGGTTCCACTATGTTGACCAGACTGGTCTTGAACTCCTGACTTCATGATCCACCCACCGCAGCCTCCCAAGGTGCTGGGATTACAAGCATGAGCCACCGCACCCGGCCAATTCCACCGATTTTTAAAATGGCCTTAAGTGAAATTAATCAGGTACCAAAATGCCATCCCGAGAAGTCCCAGAACTATTTAGGTTGAAATATGAAATGACCTAGAATTCTTAGTTGTTCATAACCTCTGTGCACTTTTAATAGGGTGATTAGTAACTCACAGCCCTACCCCTTTCTACTCCCCTTTCAGAAGTCCTACGTACAAGGCACGGCCCTGAGGGTGCCACTGCTGCAGTGAGGACAGATTCCATAGTGGAGGGGGCTGAAGCTGCACCTTGGTGTATCCAAAGGTATCAGTTACTCCACAGCACATAGAACACTCAGGGATGTGTGTTGGACGAACTCACAACCTAGCCCTATGCTCATACTGAGGGGATCCAAGTTTTACCTGAGGCATAGTTGAGGGGTAACAGGGCTACTGTGAACTGACGTAGGGCCTTAGTTATATAAGCCTTATGAATCTGCAAGTGCAATTCAAATTTCCATCACTTTCCTCTTTTTAAAGAGTAAACATTTTTGTGTTCACGGTACCCCTACTAAAATTAGAACAAGGCCAAACCAGCAGCCTCTCTGAAGTGACAATCTAACTTGGGCCAGGGAAAGGAGTACAGCACAGTCCAGCAGTTTTCCTTCCCAGAATGGCATAAATCTGAGAAAAGCTTCTTTGGAAGCTGCTTAGACAGGAAAACAAAAGCATCAGCTCCCTGGCTGGCAGACAAGTAGAAATTATGTTAAGATGAAAATAAGATATCACACAGAAAACATACATTTAGGTCTCGTTTCTAGCTTTTTTTTTTTTTTTTGAGACGGAGTCTTGCTCTTGTCGCCATTTCTAGCTTTTTAAGAACTACAATTAAGACCACAATTTGAAGACTGGGCACAGTGGCTCATACCTGTAATCCCAGCACTTTGGGAAGCCGGGGTGGGCCTGATCATTTGAGGTCAAGAGTTTGAGACCAGCCTGGACAACATGGTGAAACCCTGTCTCTACTGAAAATACAAAAAAAAAAGAGCCAGGTGTGGTTGCACGCACCTGTAATCAATCCCAGCTACTTGGGAGGCTGAGGCATGAGAACGGCTTAAACCCTGGAGGCAGAGGTTGCAGTGAGCTGAGCTCGTGCCACCACACTCCAGCCTGGGTGACAAGAGTGAGACCCTGTCTCAAACAAAATAAAACCTTAAATTGGGCACTCAAGAAACAGTATCTTTAAATTTGTCACTCACTGATGGTTTTATGAAATACACTACAGCTTATATATCTATTAGTAACTACCTGCACCAAGACTTTTTCCCATTCTTTTTAAATTTTATTAAGAAATATCGTACATACAAAAGCACATAAACATACAGCTTAAAAAAGAAAATGCCCACAGGGCTTCAGAAACAGACCCTCGCCAGTTCCTCTGAAGACCCCTCTCTGCCCTCACGATCACCTCTCCCTCTGTCAGAACGGCTAACATTAAATGTTGTCTTAATCATTTCCTTTTATCATGTATTTGACAGCCTGTTTTTGACTTTCATCGAAATGGAACCACAGTGATGTATTCTTCTGACTTGCTTTTTTTGATCCTTCTGTTGTTGAGTTTTGTCCATGTTCACATACAGAGCTGCAGTTCAGTTTCACTTCTGTGGAATTCCACTGTTGGAATATACCCACAGTATTTATCCAACGCACTGTTGGTGGACACCAGGTCTTCCCAGGTTTTTTCTTCTTTTCTTCCTATTACACGCAATGCTTAAATCCATCCCCTGGTACACATGTGTAAGAGCTTCTCTAGGGTATGTATCCGAGAGTGAATGGCTGAGAGGTTATGGCACACCCACTTATGCCAAATTGTTTCCCGTTTCCCAAAGTTGTTGTTCCTAAACATTCTTAAATCTGTTGACAAATGACCTATTTGGGATGGCTGAGGGGAGGAAATAGATCAGCTACAAAACTCTTGAATTTTTAAAATAGTAAATTCAAAATTCTGATACAACAATGAAAAATACATTTACTT